CTTATTAATAACTGCATTGTCTCTTTCCATGTACGAAAGTGGGCTGAAATGTCCATAAGCTGACTATTAGGGAGTGATGTTAAGGCTGTAAAATCTTGCATGCATTAATTAAAACTCTTCTTATTAATAACTGCATTGTCTCTTTCCATGTACGAAAGTGGTCTGAAATGTCCATAAGCTGACTATTGGGGAGTGATGTTAAGGCTGTAAAAATCTTGCATGCATTAATTAAAACTCTTCTTATTAATAACTGCATTGTCTCTTTCCATTGGGCTGAAATGTCCATAAGCTGACTATTCGTGTAAAATCTTGCATGCATTAATTAAAACTCTTCTGTTTATTGTCTCTTTCCATTTTTGAAATGTCCCCACTGTCGTAAATGTATTTTTCCAGGTACGCTTGAGTATCACTGCTTCCTATGAACTTTTCAGCCCACCCACGTAACTGGAAAGAAACAAAACAGTTATTACCCTCAATATACACAGCTCTTGCATTATTCCTTCATCGTCAGACTCTGTTTATTTTTTTCAGCCCACTGTCGTAAATGCCATTGTAGAACCGACAGACCCTCAATATACGCGGAAATTTATCAGGCATCATCGTCTATTACTGGGTTGAATTTTTTGTTTTGCTTTTAAGGTTGGTATCGGTTCTTGTCGTAGATTCTACGATGTTTTGGAAGCAATGTTTTTCCAACTTTTGTCCATACCGTTATTTTGCTATCTTGTCAATCTTTTAAATTGGTTGGCTTCAAATCCAGGGTTCAATTCTCCATTTCTACGACAGAAGCTTTATGCTACACTAACACTGAGCAGCCTTGAATAAAATGGATGTAATCTAGATATCTGATCTACCAGACAAGCGAAGATTTTTTCGAGCCACTCTATGGGCGGTGGTGGTGTAAGGTTCCACTTTTTGCGCATTAACTAAAAAGAGTCTAAGCTTGACACGAAGAATGTTTTGTATTGATTGAGTCATTTTCCACTGTTTATCAACATTTTTCAGGGTATGTAATGCCAGAAAATATTTTTAGATGGTAATAATGCTTTTTATGAGAGATAATAATATTTTAGAAATACATATCTTTAGAGAAATGTAGAAAAAGTAGTGCAGCACCGCATTCTGGGTGATATGCATAACATCTCTTGGAAACAACATCTAACTAAATCACAGGTCAATGAACACATCCTTGATATTTCTACAATCTTAATATATGTAGAATACACTTTACAGGTCGCTTCTTGCGAGCAAAACAAGAACTACTGCTCTGGGTACCTAGCCATGGAGCAAGACGGATGTGTTGCTTAACAATCACCCACATATTATTTTACTTATATCCCCACGGTAACAAGACTTGACACAAGGTCGTTTTCATTTGCGGTACTCGAGCGCGTACACACAGCAACCCCTTACATTGACCAGGTATGCTATGACACAGAATGCCACCCTAATTATCTTCTGACCTTGACACAGGACCGTGATGGTTGGTGTGATAGACTGATGAATGCCTAAGCTAACTCGACCGAATAAATTACTGTGGCGAACACTTTTAACTGAAAACCATTGGTTTCCGTTATTAGCTAATCTAAAGAGAAGCTACATTTGTCATAAGAATCACTGAAAACCCCTTTGCGTTATTCAGCTAGAAAGAGAACTGGTTAAATTGTTTTCTGTCAACCCCACTGTCTTCCCTAATGAGCAATGGTAAGAGGAAAAATGTCATTCGGACCTTCAGTAATGGTACCGAATTTCATATTCTGGCTTCCATCTTGAAAGTCCGTTCAAAAACCTTAATAACCTTAAAAGAGAGGGAACATTGAGAGGAAAACTGGATCAGGAGGTCACAACAGGAATTGGAATCATCATTTCAACTCAATCCGAAAGACGTTTGGTACGTGAGAGAGGAGTTTCAGCTATGACAGTCCAAATGGCAGCGAAAAAAAACCTGTAAATGAAGTCGTAAGTGAAACGTGTAAGGCACTTTGTTACTTCATGACAGAAGGTTAGAAGATTAGAGATGTCTATGATGATCTTGAATAAGTTGGAATAATATATATATATATATTTGAAATGTATTTGAATATTTCAATAGCTTCCGATCCTTAGCTATGATTAATTAATGATGAACATCTCATTGTTGCTTATGACTGATTTCAACACGACTCTTCTGTTAAGCTTGGAGAGTAATTATACATTCTTATTGCTCAAAGTCCAATAGTATTATAAAACCTCGGAGAATTCCAGTAAGATATCTTTAATCATTTCTAAGATATAACGGTTCAGAACTTAATCTAACATTTGTGGCTATCATTTATAAATAAAACGTTTTGCGATTATTCTGTTGGTGTGTTTCACCTACAATTTACGACATATGTCTATGCAAGAAATTTATTATAATTTTCATTACAATGAATAATTATATGTTCAGTTAATGTTTTCTTTCAAGGTATATTGATACGAACATTGACTATTATGTTATTTTTTTCTACAGTACGACATTATTTTGCATAATTGGAATATAAACATTTTTGTATTGAGATGTGTAAAAACCGCCGGTGATTATGTATTTTTGGAAATTCGACGTGACTACGGCAAGGTTAACTAGTCCAAAATGCCGAAGTGAAATTTAGTATCAATGCTTCCGACAATACCACTGGCTCTATATAATGGTATCCCTACCACTGATTATACATTTAGAAAAAATCCCACCCTCAGCTTTTATTCCAATCTCCCAGCTTTATGCAGAAAAACAAACTTCATTTTTAAGGTTGCTTTGACTTTTATTTTTACGGCTCTCTCAGACTTTTGCGTTATATTTAAAGCCAGAAAATAGTTTTAGATCGCAAATCATTTTGGCTATGTAGTGTATTTCCTGTGAATTTGTATCATAATTACATTCAAAATAATTTAAAAATTTATATATTTTTTTAAATATAAAAGAAATTATGACTTAAGCCTGTGTTTTTTATATCTTCACACGTGAAGATAGAAATCGATCTTGGACAATGTACAAGACTGCTGCCTAATCAAGCGAGAAATGTTTAAATAACTTCTCAGTATAAAGTACGAACTTTGTCGAACATAATTATTTATGGCGCTATTATAAATACCAGCGTCTGAATAATTAATGTGGGGTCTGTAAGCGCAATTATCATTAGCATTTATTAGGCTGCGTGGGCTAATGCCCCAAATGCTCTGTTGAAAATGTTTTTAATGAGACTCTTCTAACGATGTCTGCTGTCATCTATTTCTTATTAATGGCGCCAAGAAATCAGCACCACATTGGCGACTCTTCTGATTATACAGGTCACGTGATACGGCGTTTTAAACCGCAGCGTCCTTCCCAGCAATAACTCGGGTAACATGATAATCGCCGCAATTTCGATTTGCCGCCGAAAGTATGCTATTTGTCTAATAAACTTGCTGACTCTGGGTAATAGTTGAGATTTCTTGCGAAACCGTTAGATGAATTTTAATTCACCCTAACTGACCATCATCTTTATGCAAGAAAGCTATCGAACAATTTACAACTCTCCCAACCTCAAATCGTCTGACCACATCCAACACATTTATATCGGAATTTCTGAAATGAAGAGGTATTATTATTAATATTACAGTAGTGCCTTGCGATACGAGTTTAATTCGTTCCAAAACCATTCTCGTAACTCAAAACACTCGTATTTCAAATCAGTTTTCCCCACTGAAATTAATGGGAATGTTTCCGATCCATTCCAGATATCTAAAAATCATTTTTTCCATAAAACTCACCCCTATTTTTGTATTTGTGGGTTTCTTACAAGCAAAAACGTGTGAGAAATGAAAGAAATACTCGCCAGCGGCGTGAAGTAGGTAGACCACTGTTAGTGGTGCACTACTTAAACAGCATATTACCCCCCCAACACATATACTTACAACGTATTTATGAGGATTAGGGTTCATAAGTACGGTATATAATAATATATATATATATATATATATATATGAAGAAAAATATACGGAAACACAAACAAAAATTCTAATATGTAATTATGCTGTTTTAATGTTAATATAATGTCAACGTCGTTAGGTTTAATGTCGGATCTATATCCATATATTTGCTTTATATATATATATATATATATATATATATATATATATATATATATATATATATATAAGTATGTATATATATGAGGAATTTTATAATGAGGAGATACATTGAATTTTATTATTTTTTTATATATTATTTTTTTTAATTTTTCACTTTGTTTTTATATATTTGATTACGATTGTTATTATTTTACGTAAATTAGATAATGAGGATATCAATTTTGTTATGTTTCCAGTGCATTTCACTATCTGTACTTCCCCTTTCCACCTCTGTTCATTGTGTCGACACCACCCCTTTCTTCAATAATAATAATAATAATAATAATATCAATCCACCTGATAAATTTTTCTAGGTAAAGCAGTTTAAACTTAGTTCCAGTTCTCTTGTGATTTATTTTTAAAATATTGTGTGGATGAATTTAAAACATTTTGTGACTTCGGTCTGTTGAGGTCGGTATTAAAAACTTACCTGCTGAAATAAATTTATTACCGAATTTTTCGAGATGCGTAAGGATTTTTCCTTTGCTCTCTATACAATACATTGAGCTCTCTTCATGGGACAATCTTTTTAAAACATTATATTAAAATGATCCACTTGGAGTATCCTTTCCACTTACGGATTTGATATATATATATATATATATATATATATATATATATATATATGGGTGGTGTATACGGAATAAATTCTTAAAAGTGTTCTCAATACAGACTAGAGGAAATATAATTCATTCGAAAATTATAATATAATATGTCTCTGTGTGCGTGCGTGTGTTTGCTGGTATATATTTAATAGATCGATTAAACGTACGATCACCGAAGTTAAGCAATATCGCCTCTGGTCATTACCAAGATCGGTGACCGCTTAGGAATTCCAGCTGCTGTAAGCGTGGATGTAGGAGTGGTATGGCTGACGGTCATATCACGTTGAAACACCGGCTCATGTACGATCACCGAAGTTAAGCAACATCGACACTGATTAGTACCAAAATGGGTGACAGCTTAGGAATACCAGCTGCTGTTACCGTGAATGTGAGACTGGTATGGATTATGGCCATATCACATTGTAACACCAGTTCTCTTACCATCACCGAAGTTAAGCAGCGTCGAGACTGGTCACTACCAAGACGGGTGATCACTGGGAGATGTAATATTGGGGGGTGGGGTGAATGGTATAATGGATAATGGTTCGGAATTGGACCTCAGATAGACGAGTTCTAATTTCGGTCGGGTTTGTTATATTCATTTAATTGCAAATACTCTTGGGAAAGGCATGAATCCATCTTTACTTTGACCAACTATGAGTTACATAGTAGGACTTTTATCAGTAAATAATTATCAACTCAAATCTATTTATAATCTGGTTTTAAATAACCTGGAATAGGTTGATAGACCGTCAAAAATAAAACTATCAATCAAAAAGCAGGAAAAGGCAACGGAAGGCTGCTAAAAATATTTCTGAAAATGTTATAATAAAAAAAATGTCACTTCAGAAAATCATGGCTGTTTTTAAATTATTTCAATTCAAGCAAGACAGTCTGCCGAGTGATGCATAGCATCTCTCAGTTGCATCTCTGTCTTCGGGCAGAGTTCGACTCAGTTGTGGCTCTGTAAATGGACAGAGATTCAGCTGAGGAAAATAATACTTTAAGGCACCGGCCCTGTAGCACCGCTGCCCGAGGCTGCACGCTCTCATTGACGGGGATCGGTGGTCGCCACCGAGTTCCACGTAACCGGCAGTTGCGGCTTGACTCCTTTTTGTACTTGGCTTGAGTGTACGCACTAAAATACGTCACATTAAACCTGACATTGTGTCATATCCTGTCTCATTGAGGAGACAAGGTTAAATACCCAAGCAAGGCAGTAAAGCCACTGAGTGTTAGAGAATATATTATTAAATTCTAATAACCTTGAGAAAGCCTGAACGTACTTATGTTTGACCAGACTAGCATCTGTAATGTCAGGTCAAGGTTAGAGTGATTGATTTCTTCTTACGGCCTATCACTCTTTTGCAGGATGTTTAAAGCCAGAAAATATTTTTGGTATGTAAGATAATAATGATTTACTGATAACAGTACTGTTAATTTACCTGGAGGTGGATTCATGCCTTTCCCAAGGGCAGTTGCACCTAAGTGAATATATCGAACCGAACAAGAATTACAACTCTGCTCAACGATTTCAAATTACGAGCCGTTATCTATTAAATCATCTCTAATCTTACAGAAGCTAATATTCCCAGTTGGTTACCCATCTAGGCAATGACCAAGCTCGAAGTTGCTTACCGGTGTTTCGGCGTTATATCTAGTTATGTACAATGTCATCGATATATCCCAAACCGGAGAAAAAGCAAAGGAAGTTGTGTCCACCATATTTAACCAGCATTCTTTTAAATTTACATATGATAAAGAAAATAAAGCAGTAAATAATTATAGCTAAACCTTATGCAAATTAATTGACAAAACCACTTTAGTTTCCTTTCTTTCACCAAACGGTCAGTTTTAGACCCACTGGGATGACAGTGTGTAATCGATTTCTATTTTTTCCTCAGATTAGGTCACTTGCAGTGGTGTGCATATCAAACAGACAATTATTCTTACCTATAAATACAAGAAGAAAAAAACTTCATAAACAAATTTAAACCAGAACTAAATAGATCATAACCCCATACGCAAAAGCACACAACATGCACACATAGTGACCAAATAAAGTGATCAAACCACTCACGTGCATGCACGCACGCTCACATGCAGGTGTTTTGTGGGGCACGAATGTGTATATATATATATATATATATATATATATATATATATATATATATATACAGGAGAACTACTCACAGGCACGCACACAAACACCACACAACTTTGGAAGTATGTGTATATGTGTATACATATATATATATGTGTGTGTATATATATATATTGATTTCATGTAAATTAGGAAATATGTGTATGTACGTATGGGTGTATGTGTGTGTGTATGTACTGATTCCTTGTAATGGGACGGTGTGTGTGTGTGTGTTCACTGATTCCTCGTAGTGAGAGTGTGTATGTATGGAGAGGGTATATACACATATATACACGCTTGCCGACAAAAGCACACGAAAATGGAAATAGATCTAAGAACACACAGGGGTCATTAAAAGATGAGCATGCCGATAACTACTCCATTATTTCTGGAACTAATCTTAATTGTTTTATAACCCTTCACGCAGAACATTCCCCTGCCAGTTCAAGAAAGACGTTTGGATCACTAACACAAAAAAGAAAATGTCTCATATCGAGAATATTTAACATCGAAAAACATAAAGAAAAAAATGAATTACTTTTAATAATATGTGGAAAAATCCACCTTTTGCCTGATGACGGCCGCGAGACCGGAAATCTGTGTAGCAAAAGGCAGTGTTTCTCAACTTTTTTTTACTTCAGGGTGCACTTTAAATTTTACATGGAAAAATTATTCATATAATTTCAAAGTAGGAAAATAATGAAGTAGATTCCTGAAACAAGGATTTATTTTCAATAAATTAGATTGTATATTTAAGTATCAATGAGTCAGTTATGTGGCACACGCTTATATCCGTCGATACATGACTGACGAGGCAGACTTTTCCCCGCAGTTGGTTGCCATTTCTTTCTGCGGTAGACCAGTTGCCATCCAAATCTATAGAACTGAGTCTGTCCTGCTATTTACCCATAGCTGAAGAGTATTGATTCCTTTCCAACGGAAGTGAAAGGCTGTTATCGATTAGCACGCAAATGAATGTAATGGATTCGACTGAGATTTGAACTCGTTTCTCTGATTCCTCAATGCGAGCTGCCATCCATTACACCACCGTACTGGGCTTTATATGGATTGGCAATTTTGTTTTATTGTTAGCCCTTATACATGAGATAAACGTGCTCCCATATCCACATCAATGCATTTAATATTTAATCTATTTTGCATTTAATCTTGGTAAGTGCAGAAGATGTTAATTCACAGAGGTGCGATGCGGAAAATTGCAATAAAATATTCAGTACTTTAGTAGATCTTGAAGAATATTCTTGTTTAATGGAAATTCCAAATTGATCAATGGACACCTTTTTATACTTGATGTGTAAGCCACGATCGGCAGATATAGTGACAAGCTACTTTTTTTCTGTTAACGATAAGCCAACTTCATCAGATGAAACATCGATTGACTTAAATATGGTAGCCACGTGCTTGGCATCTCTATATATATATTTATATCTTACTGTTCTTTCTTTTTATTTATATACATATATATATATATATATATATTTTTTAAATATGAAAATTATTCATAAATTACTTCTCTGGTACATTGGGGCGCACATGTTTCCATTTCAGGGCGCCCCTGAGCACCGACTGAGAGACGCTGGCATATGGTATTAAAAAGATATATCACCCTTGGGATAAACGTGGAACTATTTCCACCTGTGGAGATTGCAGTGGCTTCTCTAACCTTGTATGATAGTCAAGGAAAGATTCTGATGGTTTACATTGGATTGCAAACTATGAAGAAGAACAAACCAAATTAATCTTATCTTATATTCTGAAGAATTAATGGAAAATCCAAGATAAGAAAGGAAGGAAATCTACTGAGAACCATGATCACCTACCTGGATATAGACTAAATATGGTTACTAATTCGACTACTACTAACATTATCACGAGTAGAAATGAACGATGAACTCTCTAATAAGTAAAGGTGCGTCTAGCGTACATAAAAACTGACAGGCAAAATCGAACAAGACAGAAAGTAAAATATTTCTCATCCCAAATCCAATAAGAAAAGTACAAAGTAAAATAACCCAGCACAGATGAAACTTTATTTTGCTGCAAGTTTAACATTTATTGGCAAAATATCATTGGCGAAGTCGCGATAGTAATTATTGAAATTTCACCTCATTTGATTGGCAAAGTTAAAGAGACAGAGAAAAGAGAAATTGTTAAAGAAGACAATGAAATTGGACTTACGCGTCTCGACAAGCCGCATTAGAAACATTCTGGAGATCAGGGAAGGGTTAGGGTTTCGATTATTGCCTGGAGGAGGAACAACATTTTATTACTATTATAATTGTGTTATGATTTTTGTATGAAAAGTTACTAATGGCTGAATATAAACACTTCTCACTCAGCCTGAAGTTAAAGATATTTATATATAAGGACACGGAAAAGTCTCGTGATATTAACATGTGGGCCCAAGCAGAGAGAGAGAGAAAGAAAGAGAGAGAGAAAACTAAGTCAGTCAGTGATGGAAAAGAAAGATAAAACAAATGACCAGGAGAAACAAATAAAGAAGCAAGTCGAGAGAAATGTCAAAAATATTTATAGAATAAAATTAAAAGGAAGTTTAAAATATATATATATATATATATATATATATATATATATATATATATATATATATATATATATATATATATATATATATATATATATATATATATATATATCTGGTGGAATAATGGATAGTGGCTTGGATTGAGGAATCGCAGAGCCGAGTTCGAATTCCACTTGAATCCATTACATTCACTTACGTGCTAATACCCTTGGGAAAGATATGAATCCTCTTTCTTCTCCCTCCAGCTATGGGTAAATAGCAGGACAGACTGGGTTCTATAGCCTTGGATGGCAACTGGTCTAGGAGAAGGACAACTCTGAATTCAAAACCTGCGGAGGGTCGTTTGGGAACCTTGTGGCATTCGGTGCACCAGGTCTCTGTATTCATCCCTTCAACAAGTGTGGATGGTCCTGCACGAGACCTTCACCACTATAATCAAATCTCATGTGCTGTTGTCGGGCTGTCGTTTTCCTGGAAACTGATCTGCTTGACCCTCATACGTCGGATCTCGACGGGAGAGTCGATTATATACATATATTACTAATGTTCACACAATACAAGGCCAAAGAACCCATGATAGAGGCTTACTGTGTGGAGTTGTTTTAAATACCAATGTTAGGGGTATGGAAAGGAAGTAGACATTAGAATGAATCGGAAACGTAATCCGAGACA